TGATTATGAAGCTATAGTAGCTATGACTTAACATAGTACAGGCAGAGAGGTAAGATGACCAACGTAATACAAGGGGCCAAGAGCAAACCCACGCTACATGAACTGTGGAAAGGGAAGCCGGGTTAGTTCTTGATGTCACTAACCTGAATCACAGGGAATCTCACAGGGCTTGGTCCACAGGCTCTAGTCAGCTCCCTTTGACGGAGGATTTAATTTTGTCAGTTCAGCTCCAGAAGGAAAACAGACAAAACTTCTAAACTGTCTAAAGGAGGAATACGGGGCCCGGGCAGTGAGTGGCGCATGGTGGATCTCTGTGAGTTCGAGGCCAGCCTGGTCTACAGAGCTAGTTCCAGGATAGGCTTCAAAGCTCCATAGAGAAACCCCTGTCTCAAAAAAACAAAAACAAAACAAAACCGACACACACACACACACACACACACACACACACACACACAGAGAGAGAGAGAGAGAGAGAGAGAGAGAGAGAGAGAGAGAGAGAGAGAGAGAGAGAGAGAGAGAGAAGAGAAGAGAAGAGAAGAGAAGAAGAAATATTGGACTCTAACCTGTACAGGCACTTGTTCTAACTAGTCCTATTTTACCGTAAATGGACGTTCTTGTACCACACTTTCCAAAACCATCATGAGCCAGGTGTGGTGGTGCGGTGCGCAATCATAGTCCCGGCAGAGGCAGGCAGATCTCTGTGAGTTGGGCCAGTTTGGCCTTCATATGGATTTCAAGGACAGCTAGGGCTACATAGAAAGACCCTGTCCCCAAACACAAACAACAACAAAAAATCACCTCTTGCCCCCAGTCTGGAAGGTCACAGCGGGTCCCACTTGAGATGACACTATTTTGGCTTGGAATCCAGGCAGAAGAAGAACCCCAAAGGGAAGGTGCTGCTTTCTGAGCAGAAGCTAGCACTTTGGTTGCATTCTTTGCACTGGGATCTGTGATGGCTAGGATCGTCAGCTTGACAGGATCTAGAATCACCTACGGCATGGACTTCTCCAGTCCCGAGGGAACTCCTGACTGAAGAGGTTTACGTTGCAGGTGGGAAGACCCCTCTTAAACCCGGGTGGCCGCATGCTGTGGGCTGGGATCCCAGACTGAATGAGACGGAGAAAGCGGGGGGGGGGGGGGCAGGGAAAGCTGTGTGAGCATGAGGACCAGGATTCGGATCCACAGTACCCAGTGACTATCAGGCAGGCGCAGCGGGTGAAGACAGGTGATCCTGGAGCAAGCTGGCTAGCCAGACCAGCAGAATTCACTGAGAGTCCTTGCCTCAGTACATAAAGTGAAGAGCAACTGGGGAAGACGCCTGCCTGACATCTACGCCAGGCCTCCACACACCCATGTGCATATTTGAGTATGAACACACACACACACATACATACACACACACACACACACACACACACACCACGACCACCACCACCAGCGTCAAGCTGAGCACCGGTGTTCCCCGCTCTCTGGCCGGGGATGTGATGTGACAGCCGACTCAAGATGTTGCTGTCACCACACTCTCCCCATTCTGGCAGACGTCACTTCTTCAGCTGTAAGCTAATGAGCCTCTCTCTCCCTTTCCTCGATTCTATCACATGTTTAGCCGAAGCAGTGAGAAAAGCAGCTAATTCAAGGTCTCTTTCCTATAACTCAGGCACAGAGCCCGTGGTGAGCCCCCCACCCCCATGTGTCTCCTTCAAATTCCACGTCCACTTGAGGTGCTTGGAATTTCAGGTTTTGTTTTAGCTTTCTGTGTGGTACAGTCTGGCCAAGCAGGCCCTCTGAGCATCAGGTACCTCTTGGACATCCTAGGGCACAGTGTGTCTAAGGTCACCTTGGCTGGGCATGTGGGAAGGACTTACCTTGGTGGTTCTGGATTCTTCATGAGGTTGCAGATAAGCAGTCAAGCCAGCTGTCCCAGGAGGAGCCCGCTGCCGTGGTTGTTGGAAAGGGCTTAGTCCCTCCCTTCTTGCTGCATGGGGCTTTTCACAGAGCAGCTCGAGGTATCCTCATGACATACACCTGACTTGCCCCCAGAGATCCGAGTGAGAGCAGACAGTGTCACTGTGTTCTGTGACCAGGCTCAGAGGTGAGAGTTTCTCTTCTGTTACATCCGGTTCATTAGGATTGTGTTGTTACCAAGACAGCTCACATTCAGAGGGAGGTTAATTGAGCTTCACAGCCTTCGGGGGCAAGTATCAAAGATCTGTGGGCACACTTTTAAGCCACCACAGTGCCGTCAAAGTCAAAGAGTACAAAGGTGAACTTTCCCAAGTGGACTCGGAGCTGAGATTTCTCGGTTCAGAAGGAGTCATTCAAAGGGGCATCTGGATTTCAGCCAGTGATCCCTTAATAAATTATTGGTATCTGTAACTCTTCCCGCCAGCCTGGTCCCAAAGCCACACCAGTCCCAAAGGAGCAGGAAGGACGCTGAATTAATTATGAATCTGTTGGCCGTTTGCTTGCTTTCTTATTGGCTAGCTCTGGCTTAATTACTAACTCATAACTGCTAATCTGAGTATTTCCACATGGTCTTCTCTTACCGGAGAAAGGGTCCGGACCTCTTACTCCTCTGGTGTCCTACATCGTGACTGACTGTGCCTCAGTTTCCCAGAATCCTCCTTGACTCCTAGTGCCACCTATCTTGCTTCCCTTTTGGCCAACAGTGTTTTATTCATACCAATCAGACAAACATATACACAGAAGGACTTACCCCATTATCTCTTTTTTTTTTGTCTGAGACAAGGTTTCTCTGTATTGTTTTGGAGGCTGTCCTGGAACTTGCTCTGTAGACCACTCTGGTATCAAACTCACAGAGATCCGCCTACCTCTGCCTCCCGAGTGCTGGGATTAAAGGCGTGTGCCAACAACGCCCGGTTTCCATCTCCTCTTTTCTGTCTAAATAAAAAGGTTTTAACTTTAACATAGTTAAATTATATATAACAGAACAGTTATCAAGAACTATAGTTACAATACTTAGTCCATTAACATTTAGCAACATTTAAAGAAAATATCATCTATCCTATCTTTGTGAGTCTAAAGACTTATATGTAACTTATCTTTTATCATAACTAAGGAAAACTATAATTATAACGAGCTGTCTTCAACTCCATCAAAGACCACAGAAGGATAATGTATAAACTCTAGAATTGACAGAGATATCTTGTTACCTGGACAGTCACCCGAAGTTCCTCTGTAATGTTGGGGCATCCATCTTCAGCCCATAGGCCACAATGTGTCTGGAAGACTTCTCAGCAAAGCAGGAAATTTCAAACTGTCCACCTGCATTGGCAGTCTGTCAGTCATTTTTTTGTGTGTCCTGTAGAATGTCCGGCAGACTCTTCCATGAAGCAGGAACCCTGTAGGACTGTTCAAGTTCAGCAGTCACTTTCCTGTGGGTCCTGCATGTCCAGTTTATACAGCAGCAGTCAAACAGTGCAGGCAAGAGCAGTTTCTTGCTCAAATGGCCAATCTTGCCATGTTGAAAGCAAACTCTATAATGAGTTTCTTCGATGCCCATCTTCCTCTCAGATGTAATTGGTGTGCCAGGAGCAGTTGTGCCTCACTATCATGAAAAACCCTAAACCATTTAAATGCCACATAGTCTGTAGGTCTTTGACAGGCTTGAAGAATATCTGTCTATCTTAAATACATCTCTATATGTCTAGAAAACCTAACTAACCTAACTATAAGTTCTGACTACCATAGGTGACTATGTACAATCTGTAATTATGTATTACATTTTATTTTTTATTTAAATTAGAAACAAGCTTGCTTCACATGTCAATCTCAGCTTCCTCTCCCTCCCCTCCTCCCCTGCCCCCCCCACCAGGCCCCCCAGCCCCTCACCCTGTCCCCACTCCAATCCCTAGGGAGGGTGAGACCCTCCATGGAGAATCTCCAGAGTCTGTCATTTCATTCAGGGCAGGGCCTAGGCCCTCCTCCAAGAGTCCAAGCTGAGAGAGCATTCCTCATTGTGGGATGGGCACCCAAAGTCCATTTGTATGCCAGGGATAAATATTGATCTACTTCCCAAGGCCCCATAGATTGCCTGAGTCTCCTCACTGACACCCACATTCAGGGGGTCTGGATCAATCCCATGCTGGCCTCCCAGCCATCAGTCTGGGGTCCAAGATCTCCCCCCTTGTTCAGGTCCGTTGTTTCTGTGGGTTAAACCAGCCCAGTCTTGACCCTTTTGCTCATCAGTCCTCCCTCTCTGTCACTGAATTCCAGGAGTTCAGTTCAGTGTTTGGCTGTGGGTGTCTGCCTCTGTTTCCATCAGTCACTGGATGAAGGTAGTGGAACAGTATTTATCCCTAGCGCACAAATGGACATTGGGGAGCCCATTCCCCATAGAGGGATACCCTCTCAGCCTAGACACACAGGGAAGGGCCTAGGCCCTGCCCCCAAATGATGTGACAGACTTTGATGATCCCCTGTGGAAGGACTTACCCTTTCTATGGAGCAGAGGAGAGATGGGATGGAGGGTCGGTGAGGGTGCATGGGAGGATGGGAGGGAGAGGGAACTGGGATTCATGTATAAAAAATAAGATTGTTGCCGGGCGTTGGTGGCGCACGCCTTTAATCCCAGCACTCGGGAGGCAGAGGCAGGCGGATCACTGTGAGTTCGAGACCAGCCTGGTCTACAGAGTGAGTTCCAGGACAGGCTCCAAAACCACAGAGAAACCCTGTCTCAAAAAAAAAAAAAAAAGATTGTTTCTACTTTAAATATATATAATTAACAATAGCTTCCCAACGTGGGACTCTACTTGGCTTGGACTATGCACACACCCCTGCCAGAATAAAGCACCTAGCAATCTGTTTGAAGCCTACACGTCCCATCCACCATCCCTACAGAGCCCCTGGCTTCAGATGCCCAGCGTGAACAGGCACGATCCCCTGCTTGGTTTACATCACTCTCCTTTGCAACCTTACTTTGCTTTCCACTGATTTTCCCATGACCGAAAGCAAGTTAGGGAGGAAAGGGTCTGCTTTACCTTACAACTTAAAGTCCATCGTGAGGGAAGTCAGAGCAGGAACTTGGGGCAGGGACCTAGAGGCAGGGTCTGAAGCAGAGGTCATGGAGGAACACTGTTTACCGGCTTACTCTTCTTAGCTTGCCCAATTGGCTCCCCTCCCCCTCTCCCCCTCCCTCCCCTCTCCCCCTCCCTCCCCCTCTCCCCCTCCCCCTCCCCCTCCTCCCCCTCCCTCCTCCTCCCTTCCCCTCCCCCTCTCTCTCCCCCTCTCCCTCCTCCCCTCCCTCCTCCTCCCTTCCCCTCCCCCTCTCTCCCCCCTACCTCTCTCTCCCCCTCTCCTTACCTCCCTCCCCTCCCCTTCCCTTCCTTCCTTAGACATGGTCTAACTATATGATTTTGACTAGCCTGGAACCATGTAGATCAGGCAGGCTGGCTGAGAACTCACAGAGATCTGCCTGCCTCTGCTAGGATTAAAGGCTTGCACAACCGCACCTGGTTCCCAGTTTGCACAGAACCGCTTGTGCCAGGATGGCCCTGCCCACGGTGGGGCCACCAATCAAGAAAATGCCCCACAGGTTTGCTTACAGGCCCATTTGATGGAGGTATTTTCTCAGTTCGATACTCTAGCTTGTATCAAAGTTGACAAAAACCAGCCGACCAACCAAAAACCCAAACAAACAACAAAAAACCCTAACCACTCTTCAATAATGCCCCACTTCTTCTCAAACACTTCTGGGAACTCCAGGTTTTAGGTGCATGTACAATAAGGCAAACTTCTAGGAAAAATGCCCTGCTTATCACCTTATGCCTATTCACAGCTGGGCATGTGTACGGTTAAAATCAGATGTATTATGGGATGAGACATATGTAATCAGCAAGAGCTTAAGTCATCCAAGCCTGTCAAAACAGAGCACCACCAAACTAAACCTCTAGCAAACAAACTCCTTTCTTCTTTGTCAGGCAAGGTCTTTTATGTAGTCCTGACCTGGAACTCCCTACAAAGGCCAGTCTGGGTGCTATCAGGGAAATACGAAACAAAACAACTCTATGATACCATACGTGTCAGAATGGCTAAGATCAAAAATGCTGACAGCCTATGTTGGAGAGGATGTGGAGTCAGAGGAACACTCCTCCACTGCTGGTGGAAGTGCAAAGGTGTACAGCCAATTCTGGAGAAATCAGTAGGGCGGTTTCTCAGAAAATTGGGAGTCAGTCTACCTCAAGACCCGGCTATACCACTCTTGGGCATAATAAACAAAGGATGCTCAGTCATACCGGAGGGACACTTGCTCAACTATGTTCATAGCATTATTCATAATAGTCAAAACCTGGGAATAGCCTAGGAATGGATAAAGGTGGGATACCTCGCCCAGCCTTGATGCAAGAGGGAGGAGCTTGGTCCTGCCTCAACTTGATAAGCCATGCCCTTTTGACCCCCATGGAGGCCTTCCCCTTTCTGAATGGAGATGGAGGAGAAGTGGATGGGGGAGGGAACGGGAGGAGAGGAGGGAGGGGAAACTGTGGTTGGTATATAAAACAAATTAAAAAAGAGAGACCAGCTGGGTGGCGGTGGTGCATGCCTTTAATCCCAGCACTGGGAGGCAGAGGCAGGTGGATCTCTGTGAGTTCGAGTCCAGGCTCCAAAGCTACACAGAGAAAGCCTGTCTCGAAAAACCAAACCAAAAAAGAAAAAAAAAAAAAGATCAGGCTGTTCTCCAAGTCACAGAGATCCATCTGCCTCTGCTGCCACTGCCGAGATTAAAGGTGTGCACCACCACAGCCAGCACCTCCTTCTCTGAACCCCACAAAAGGAAGCCCCAAGCAATAATGGGGGGCCGTGGGCACCCTCACTCAGGAGGCTCACCGTCAGTCTTCGAAGTGTGTTTCTGGTCTGCTCTCCCGATTTCCTTTGAGGAAGTGTTCCCCACTCCTTTGCAATCTGAGCATCTCTACTTATTCTCTGACAACTGGTGCAGGACTCTGGCCACCGGCACCACCGCTGAGGGATCCTGCCAAGAAAGCACACTACCACCAGGAACACAAATTCCCCCTCCTGTGGGGCCGCTGAGCTCCATGACAAAGCACAACAGTATTCCAGCTGATTAGAGAGAGGCATACGGTCTCACTGCACTACCGGAGCAGACAGTGAGTCAGGTGTGTTTTAAGAGGCAGCATGTAGGAAACAGCTGACCGGAGAGCCTCACCCCCCCCCCCCAGGGCAGAGCATCAGCCCCAGCTGTGCGTGCCACGGTAAAATCCGATTTCGCAAGGGAAACCTGCTCATCATCAGCATCTAAATCAAGCTCTTCTTCACCAACTCCCAGGTCCCATCCAGGCATGCACCCATCTCCAGCAGAAATTGCACTTTCTTCTGATGTTACCTTTTAGGGATTTCCAAAGAAAGAAAGAAGGGAAGGAAGGAAGGAAGGAAGAAGGAAAGAAAGAAAGAAAGGAAGGGAGGAAGGAAGAAGGAAAGGAAAGGAAAGGAAAGAAAGAAAGAAAGAAAGAAAGAAAGAAAGAAAGAAAGAAAGAAAGAAAGAAAGAAAGAAAGAAAGATTAGCTAGGCATGATAGCATTGAGGAGGCACAGACAGGCAGATCTTTACGTAAGGCAGCCTGGTCTACACAGTGAGTTCCAGGCCAGCCAGAGCTACACAGTGAGAACCTGCCTCAACAAAACAACAACCACAAAAAAACAAACCAGGATGTTTTCTGGCTATGTGTCTGTGTGAACGCACCTGTGCTGGACCCCCCTGGAGGTGGGGTTCCAGGCAGTTGAGTGAGGATCCCTTGCAAGAGCTGTTAATGTGCACGGGACACGCGCTTTAACCTGCCCAGCCGTATGGATGGCTTCCCACTCTGTTCTTGTGTGAGACAATCTTCATCGTGTAGTTCAGGATGATCTCCAGCTCCCTAGGCAACCAAGGGTTTGAGTTAGGTTCCTGTTGCTGTGCTAGAACACTGAACGAAGTCGGCTGATCTGGCTCACGAGTCCACTCAGAGACGTCGAAGCAGGAACCCTGAAAACGGGAACTGAATGAGAAGCTGTGAAGAAATGCTTCATACTGACTTGCTCAGTCTGCTGTTTTGTTTTGTTTTGGTTTTTTTTTTTTTTGAGACAAGATTTCTCTGTGTAGGTTTGGAGGTTGTCCTGGAACTCACTCTGCAGACCAGACTGGCCTTGAACTCACAGAGATCTGCCTACCTTTGCCTCCCGAGTGCTGGGGTTAAGGGCGTGCATCACCACCAACACCCGGCTTCAGGTTGCTTTCCTATACACTTCAGAGACGTCTGCTTTGGGACACCACCACCCACAGTGGGCGGGACCCTCCCATATCAATCATCAGTCAAGAAAATTTTCACACATTTGCCTACAGGCCAACATTAGGGAGGTTTTTCTCAGTTGAGATTCTTCCCAGATGCATTAGTTTGTGTCAAATTGACAAAAACAATCAGCCAAGACACCAAGGATGACCTTGAACTCCTGATCCTCCTGCTTCTATTCCCAAATGCTGGAATTGGAGGTGTGTGTGACACACCCAGTTTAACAGTTGAACTAAAGCAGGTGCTCTTCAAGGTCCTAAGCAAGCAGTCTCTGTGCCCGTCCTAGCTTCTTCACTTCTGCTAACTTCTGGCTCTAATCTTGCACTCTCTACTTTCCCCCAAATATGTGGCTGCAATTTAGGGGGGTCCAGATGCCTCTCCTGGTCACACCCCCCGCAAAACCTCCTTTATCACCTAGCCCCTGGGAAGGGAAAGCAAAACAGGCGGAGGCCAGGAAGAGATGCAAAAGAAGGAAGAGGTATGACCAGAGAGCGTTCACATCCAACAGTGGTAACGGCAGGGGAGAGGGGCAGCTTCTTGGAGAGGGTGCTTCGCTTATGAGTGGGTGGGAATACTCAGGGAAGGGGACAGATCTGAGCCTTGCAGGGGTGTGGGCAGAAGAACAGCTTGGGTGTATTCACCAGAAGACAACACAGCCAGAGCTCTGCTGGAGGTCAGAGACCATGAATGTGGTTTTACAAGAGACCATTATACTGTTGGGAATGTAGCTTAGGGGCAAGGGCATCTGACTATAGCCCATAGAGGTACCTGGTTCAAATCCAATGGTTCCCCTATGACTTTTATCTGGTAGACTAACTTGTGAAATTAATTATTTTTGTTTTGTTTTTCGAGACATGGTTTCTCTCTATTGTTTTGGAGGCTGTCCTGGAACTCGCTCTGTAGACCAGGCTGGCCTGGAACTCACAGAGATCTGCCTGCCTCTGCCTCCTGAGTGCTGGGATTAAAGGTGTGCACCACCGCCGCCTGGTTTCAGCCCGCACGTTTTTTAAAAAGCAGAATAACAACAGACATGAGGGTAGGTAGGTCCTGAGCCCACAACTTCATTAGACAACATACACTCTTCTCTAGCTTGACTCCTGTTGCCGGGATAGAGGCCATGACCACAGGCAGTTTAGGGAGGAAAGGGTAATTTGGCCTGCATGTCTGATCACAGTCCACCATAGGGGGAAGTCAGGCCAGGAACTGAAGCAGAGGCCATGGAGGAATGTCCTTACTGGTTTGCCTTCCACCCTCCCCAACCCCTCACACAGCTGTTTTCTTAACCACCTGCCCAGAGACGGTACTACTTGCCAGCGTTAAACACTAATCAAGAAAATGCTCTGCAGACTTGCCTGCGGGCCAACTTGATGGAGGCATTTTCCCTACTAAGGTTCATTTCTCCCAGATGACTATGCCAAGTTGACAAAATAAAGAAACACACGCACAACTAATCAGCGTGAAGTCTAACTCGGAGAAACTGGGTTATTTTACATGATTTGTCTTCTTTCTTAGCTTTAGGGTCTAATTTTATCCCTTCTTCCCATTTGAGATATAGAAGGGATGGCTGGAATCCCAGCTGCAGACTTGGAGACTAGGACCCACATTTTAAGGAAGGCTCATAGAGAGGTAAAGGAAGGCTGTGAACCTGAAAATACCCTTAAGTTCCCATGCCAGCCCTGGCCACAAATACAAAGAAAGAGGCAGTGGTGGCACACGCCTTTAATCCCAGCACTCAGGAGGCAAAGGCAGGCCTAGCTACAAAGAGTTACAAGATAGCCAGGGCCACAGAGAAACCCTGTCTCGAGAAAGGAAAACAAAACAAAACAAAACAAAAAACAAATCAAAACCCCACAAAAACAACAACAAAACCCAGTAAAACTTTCAGGGGGAGACCAGCCCAAGGGAACCTTAAAAGAGCAAGCCGCACCCCCCCACATCCCCCGTTCCCACCCTCCCCCCCCCACTTTTGTTTCCTTTTTTTTCTTTCTTTTATTTTTGAAGTTTCCCTGCGTAACCCTGACTGTCCTAGACTCAGCTCTGTAGACCAGGCTGGCCTCAAATTCACAGAGATCTAACTCCTTCTGCCTCCTGGGTTCTGGGATTAAAGGTGTGTGACACCACCCAGCTGAGCATGCCCCCCTCCGAGGGACTATAAAAAGTGAAGATGCTCCCATCGTCCCAGAGTCACTGGGAAACTCCTGTGGCCTTCTCAGCTCCCCGGAAATGTGAGACAGTGTAGGCAAAGACCTGCTACAGTAACACCCAAGGTTGCTAGCTGATGTCTGGGCCCTCTACACGACAGAAGGTTGTTGGTTCTTGTGGCTTTCTGCAGCATCACAAGCAAGTGGTGTCCATTTTCTGGTGGTGGCACAAATCTGTAAACCCCACACTTGGGGTAGGGGAGGCAGGAAGTCAGGATCTCGGGTGAGGTCATCCTTGGCTACACAAGTTTAAGGCTATTTTCACTCTTGAATTGAGCAACTATGATGACGACACAAGATCAACATAATATCAGGTCCGTCAGGCTGGTCAGTAGTGCCACACACCTTTAATCTCAGTACTCAGGAAAAAGAGGCAGCTGGATCTCTGAGTTCTAGGCCACCCTGGTCTACAGAAAGAGCTTCAGGACAGCCAGAACTACACAGAGAAACGCTGTCTTGAAAAGCCAATCAACAACCAAACAAACAAACAAAAACTGGCAACACTGTCTTTTTTGATCCTGAACTTGCTGTTCCTCCAACTTGGACTGAAAGCAAACTATTAGCTTTTCTGGGTTACAAAGCTGCAACTCATATTGTAGATGATGCCAGGGACAATTCCTTAAAATAAATCTTCATGAAGAGGAAGGGAGAGAGAGAAAGAATGAATGTCGGCTCTTTCTTTGGAGGATCTTGGCTCCTACATCAGCTAAGCCATTGTTGAAGAATAATGAGAAGGGGCTGGAAAGTGGCTTAGTGTAGAGCAATTGCCTATCATGCTCGAGGTCCCGTTGATTCGAGATCCCCCAACACTGAAGGAAAAAATAGTAAGAGGATAGCAAGATAAGAGAGTCTTGTTGGTCTAAAGTTTTCCCATCAATAAATTTCCTTATTTAATTTAAAAAATTGTGTGTGCAAGTGTGAACATGCATGTGTGTGTGTATGTGTGTGTGCCTGTCATGTGTGGAACTCCTAGGGCGATGTGTAGGAGTTGGTTCTCTCCTTCCATCATATGGGTTCTGGGGGTTAAGCTCAGGTTGTCAGGCCTATGCAGCTTTACCTGCTCCCCATCTGATGCCCCACCATATAAATGCTAGTAAGGTACATTTTCAGGAGGAAGAAAACACTATCCCAAAGGAATGGATGGCAGGCAACTTGAGAAAATGTGGGAAGAAACTAACCTCAACTACACATAGTATTGTTAAATATAAAATGATCCATAATTTATTTTAAAGCAATAATTGTTATTCTAGTGGTTCAAAGGTTGATAAAATAAGGCAATACTGAATACTTGTGGGAGGTTATTATTAATTTTTGTTTTTTGTTTTTTTAGATGGCATCTTACTCTGTAGCCCAATCTATCCCAGAAACCATTATGTAGCTCAGTTGGCCTTAAAGTCAAGGCAATCCTCCTGCCTCAGCTTCCTGAATTATTTACTTTTCTGCTGCTGTGATAAAAATACCATGTCCAAGGTATAGAAGAAAGAGTTTATTTGCTCTTACTGTTCCAGAGTATAAGATTTCCCGATGCAGCCAAGCACAGACAGGGAGCTGGGAAATAGGGAGAGACTATAAAATCTCAAACACTCCCCCGTGAAGTATGGACCAAGTACTCAAATACACGAAGCTATGAGGGACACTTCTCATTCAAACCACAACCCCCCAAGTTCTGGGACTGCAGCAAGAGCCACCACTGTGGCTCTGAATTGTGGGAGCAGTTTGTCTAGCAATGTCAATCTCTGGGTGTCTTGAACCACCTGCTATGATGAGCTGTACCTGGGACTGTGAGTGTAGCCTTCCCCGCCATCTGCCTGGGCCCTGCCACAGTTGCAGTCCCCAAATAACATACAAGACACTGTATTAATTATGAAGCTGTTGGCCATTTGCTTGTTTCTTACTGGCTAGCTCTGACTTAAGTATTTAACCCATAATTGTTAATATAAGTATTTCTCTTACTGGGGAAAAGGGTCTGGACCTCTTACTCTGGCGGCTACATGGTATCTGCCTGTGTCTCTCTTTCCCAGAATCCTCCTCAACTCCTAGTCCCACCTACCTTGCTTCCCTATTGGCCAATAGTGCTTTATTGACATATACACAAGACTTCCCCATCAGTGAGCTAAAATAAACCCGTTCTCCCTCGAGTTGTTTCTGTCAGAGTAATTATCACAGCAATAGGAAAAGAAGCTAAGACAGAGTCTGGTGCTATAGGCCTATAGTCCAGGAGTTCAAGGCCATCCTCAACCACATGTTCAACTTGGAAGTCAGCCAAGGCTGTTGTCAGGGCCCAAGGGGCTACCAAGGGCAAAGTGTGGGCCTGTGGGCCTGCTGTAGCTGGGACCTTTGTTGATGAAATCAGAGGGCCATGCCGAGCCGGCCCCACCTTTCGCTGGCCCTGGGAAAGCTGGCCTCGCCCTTGCTGGACACTGCAGAGAGAGAGCTGGGCCTTGTACATTAGATAGAGGACTCCACCCCTCACCACAGGTGAGGGCAAA